CATTGGATGAGTTTGGAGAGGGACTACCGGGCAGCATCAAAGATGTTCTGGCAAACCATCCCACACCTAAGGAGGGGTCGACGAGACAGTGATTGGGTGAGGTCGGTAATCTGGGAGAGCCTCACAGTCAAGCCACTGCTCCTTTGGATCGAGAGGAGCAAGTTGAGGTGGTTCAGGCACCTGGTAAGGATGCCCCCCGGTAGACTCCCCCTGGAACTCTATCGGGCAGCAGTAGCAGCAACGTCCCACTGGGCCAAGACCCCAGGGCCGGCCCAGGCCAGGCTGGAGGAACTCTATCGCTCGGCTGGCCTGGGAACACCTGGGAATTCCCCAGGAAGGGCTGGAGTCTGTCGCCAGGGAAAGGGAGGTCTGGACCATCCTAACTAATCATGCTGCCCACTGCGGCCCTCGCCAGGACAAGCGGACTGAGAAACGAATGGATGGATGATGTATAACTGCTTTTAGAATATTAATTTGGGCTTAAGGGAACATCCATGAGTTATTAATTGATATCAAAATCTCAGGTGCACGATGAATCCACAAATCGGATAAACCGCACCCGGATAATCGAGAGTCTGCTGTATTGCGATTTACGGACTCAAAAACGGCAGAATGTACAGACAATGTATAGACATGATGTACATACATAAGGTGCATACATAACGTACGTTACATAACGTACGTTACATACATAACGTACATACATAACGTACATAAATAACGTACATACATAACGTACATACATAACGTACGTACATAACGTACGTTACATAATGTATAGACATGATGCACATACATAACACGCTACGTATGTTGATTGACCGTGACAAAACCCAAGCGATAATAAACTTCCATTGTCATGAATATGAATACATGAACCCCCAATGCCCCCCTCTCTCTGGTCTTCGCACAAGTGACGACGTCACATACGTGCGGTGTGAAAGAAGTTCAACACGTGCGTTGTACACTGACGCAGGAGAGAGACACAGAGAAACTGGCGACACGGGACCCACCAGCGGTGTGAGAAGTCATCCTCGACACTGGCAGCTGCGGTGTCGGTCAGTGTGGGTCGCCTCTCTTAACGAGTGCCGGGGAGAGATTCCCCGCTCACGGCCAACACCGGGCACGAGTATCTGAACCGGTCCTGGGCCTCCTCTAGGTCGACTCAGCCTCAAATTTGGTACTTGGTGACCCGCGTGTAGTACAAATCGCCACTTGGGAGACAAAGGCGGCCCGGCGTGGTGCTGGCCACACCCACCCCCCCCGTCGTGTGCCGTCCCGGCCTTCAAAGGTGCCGCTCGCTAGCAGCACTTGCCCCAACAGTCTGTCAAGGCTACACGCGGGATCTTTGTCTTTGTTAATTCGTTTGTTGGGCACACCATAGGTCGACTCAGCTTCTGATGAGTACCTGCTGTAGCGGTGTGTGCAGTAAACATCGCCACGAGGGAGACAAAGGCGGCCGGGCGTGGTGCTGGCCACACACTCCCTCGTGTGCCGTTCCGGCCTTCAAAGGTCGCTGCTGCTATCGAACAGCACTTGCCCCTACAGTCTGTTGAAGGGCACTGGGGGATCTTTGTCTTTGTGTGTCAACGTGGGTGTGTCTCATCAGCAGCGCGGCAGCAGTCAGCCTCTGCTTGAAGCCAATGCTGGCAAAATGCCCACCCAGCAGCCACGGTGGCTATGAGATGTTAACTACCTCGCCTGGTATACAGGAGGTCGCGGGTTCTATCTCTCTCTCATCATCATCACGGTGGCTAGGAGATGTTAACTACCTCGCTTGGTCTACAGGAGGTCGCGGGTTCTATCTCTCTCTCATCATCATCACGGTGGCTAGGAGATGTTAACTACCTCGCCTGGTCTACAGAAGGTCGTGGGTTCTATCTCTCTCTCATCATCATCACGGTGGCTAGGAGATGTTAACTACCTCGCCTGGTCTACAGGAGGTCGTGGGTTCTATCTCTCTCTCATCATCATCACGGTGGCTAGGAGATGTTAACTACCTCGCTTGGTCTACAGGAGGTCGTGGGTTCTATCTCTCTCTCATCATCATCACGGTGGCTAGGAGATGTTAACTACCTCGCCTGGTCTACAGAAGGTCGTGGGTTCTATCTCTCTCATCATCATCATCACGGTGGCTAGGAGATGTTAACTACCTCGCCTGGTATACAGGAGGTCGTGGGTTCTATCTCTCTCTCATCATCATCACGGTGGCTAGGAGATGTTAACTACCTCGCCTGATATACAGGAGGTCGTGGGTTCTATCTCTCTCTCATCATCACCACCACAGTGGCTAGGAGATGTTAACTACCTCGCCTGGTCTACAGGAGGTCGCGGGTTCTATCTCTCTCTCATCATCATCACGGTGGCTAGGAGATGTTAACTACCTCGCCTGGTCTACAGGAGGTCGCGGGTTCTATCTCTCTCTCATCATCATCACGGTGGCTAGGAGATGTTAACTACCTCGCCTGGTCTACAGGAGGTCGTGGGTTCTATCTCTCTCTCATCATCATCACGGTGGCAAGAGATGTTAACTACCTCGCCTGGTCTACAGGAGGTCGCGGGTTCTATCTCTGTCTCATCATCATCACGGTGGCTAGGAGATGTTAACTACCTCGCCTGGTCTACAGGAGGTCGTGGGTTCTATCTCTCTCTCATCATCATCACGGTGGCTAGGAGATGTTAACTACCTCGCTTGGTCTACAGGAGGTCGTGGGTTCTATCTCTCTCTCATCATCATCACGGTGGCTAGGAGATGTTAACTACCTCGCCTGGTCTACAGAAGGTCGTGGGTTCTATCTCTCTCATCATCATCATCACGGTGGCTAGGAGATGTTAACTACCTCGCCTGGTATACAGGAGGTCGTGGGTTCTATCTCTCTCTCATCATCATCACGGTGGCTAGGAGATGTTAACTACCTCGCCTGATATACAGGAGGTCGTGGGTTCTATCTCTCTCTCATCATCACCACCACAGTGGCTAGGAGATGTTAACTACCTCGCCTGGTCTACAGGAGGTCGCGGGTTCTATCTCTCTCTCATCATCATCACGGTGGCTAGGAGATGTTAACTACCTCGCCTGGTCTACAGGAGGTCGCGGGTTCTATCTCTCTCTCATCATCATCACGGTGGCTAGGAGATGTTAACTACCTCGCCTGGTCTACAGGAGGTCGTGGGTTCTATCTCTCTCTCATCATCATCACGGTGGCAAGAGATGTTAACTACCTCGCCTGGTCTACAGGAGGTCGCGGGTTCTATCTCTGTCTCATCATCATCACGGTGGCTAGGAGATGTTAACTACCTCGCCTGGTCTACAGGAGGTCGCGGGTTCTATTTCTCTCATCATCATCACGGTGGCTAGGAGATGTTAACTACCTCGCCTGGTCTACAGGAGGTCGCGGGTTCTATCTCTCGCTCATCATCATCACGGTGGCTAGGAGATGTTAACTACCTCGCCTGGTATGCAGGAGGTCGTGGGTTCGATCCCGACCCTCACAACGCCTGCTGCTGTATAATTGGAGTTTGCGTCTCTCTCATCTCCCCGTGGTGCTCACGTGGGATTTTTCTTCGAGTCCTCCGGTTTCCCCCCCTCCACATTTATAACGAACGTCACACGCTCAAGACTATTTAGCGCTGCATAGATGTTCACGTGGTTGATGGTGACAAGCCGCGAGCGATTATTTGCGGCCACGTCTCTTCTGAAAAAGACCTGGATCGTAGCTCAGTGTGCCCTGACATCTGGTAAATAGAAGGAAAAAAAACGTGGTTTAGTTTAGGAGTAAAATAGTTTAAAACTTTAACTTGTGCTCGCAAACAGCACTTGCCACCAGCAGGCCATAAAACAAAGATGTTGTATGGGAGAGAGCTTTGTTTTATATGTTTAACAGAGGGCATTGGAGGGCAGTGGTTTGTGCAGCACTACAAACCTGATTCCCGCTCACGGCCACCACCACCAGCATCATTATCACCATCGAAAGCCACCATTATCACCACCACCACCACTATCATCACCACCACCATGACCATCACCACCACCATGACCATCACCACCACCATCATCACCACCATGACCATCATCACCACCATGACCATCATCACCACCATGACCAATACCCGCCATTCGCCACGAAGTAACTACGGCGCTTGTGCCAGGCCACCATCACTGAGGTGACCTCCATAAACTCCCACTGCGGGTGTCAGGGGACTCTCAAGGAGACTCTGAAAGGGACGCGGCTCCGCTCCTCCCCCATCCACACCCCACCCATTACATTCCTGCACGCTCCGGGGTGCCGTGAAAGTTGAGAGTGGTAAAAAAAAGGCTCATTTATAAGTGAAATGGTGAATGATTAACTCACCTCTGGCACTCCAAAGGTCGCTTGCTGGCTTTGGAGAGTGGAATTATTTATCGTCGGGTGGGGCGAACGGGAGAGGGGCCGCACGAGCAGCCAATCACGTCGCCGCACAGGTAGATTTGACTGAGCGAGGCGGCTCAGTCCGTCTCAGTGTCACCTGGGACGACGGAGAGACGCGGGAGAGGGGGACACGCGGAGACACAGCAGCTACAGGGCGGGACACAGAGGGACACAGAGAGACACAGAGAGACACAGCAGCTACAGGGCGGGAGACAGAGGGACACAGAGACACACAGAGACACAGCAGCTACAGGGCGGGAGACAGAGGGACACAGAGAGACACAGAGAGACACAGCAGCTACAGGGCGGGAGACAGAGGGACACAGAGAGACACAGCAGCTACAGGGCGGGAGACAGAGGGACACAGAGAGACACAGAGAGACACAGAGAGACACAGCAGCTACAGGGCGGGAGACAGAGAGACACAGAGAGACACAGCAGCTACAGGGCGGGAGACAGAGGGACACAGAGAGACACAGAGAGACACAGAGGGACACAGAGAGACACAGAGACACAGAGAGACACAGAGGGACACAGAGAGACACAGAGACACACAGAGACACAGGAGACACAGAGAGACACAGAGACACAGAGAGACACAGAGAGACACAGGAGAGACACAGAGAGACACAGGAGAGACACAGAGAGACACAGAGCGACAAAGAGAGACACAGAGAGGAGTCGCTATGGCTGACAAGGCAGCGGCGGCGGAGGAGAGCGGGGGCTGGAAGGAGTTCATCTGGAACAAGCAGAAGAAGGAGTTCATGGGGAGAACGGGCACCAGCTGGCGTGAGTAGCGGGCACCTGGGACCCAACAGGGGACCCAGGGATGGGGAGGATCTTGCGAACGCGTTGAATGGATCCCGTCCGTAAGTCAATAAAGCCGAGCGGTTCGTAAGTTCGGAAGGTAGCGATGTGAACCCCGCCTGCTTCTTCGATGGCCATGACAATACTCACACACATACACATTTTTATATATATAACACACACATACATTTATATAACACACACATACACATTTATATAACACACACATATAATACTCACACACACATATATAACACACACACATATACATGTATATATAACACACATAATACTCACACACATATATAACACAAACATATATAACACACATTTATATATAACACACACATGTATATATATATAAAACACACACATATATAATACTCACACACACATATATAACACACATATATAGATATAACACATATATAACACACACATATATAAAACACACATATATAACACACATATATATAATACTCACACACACACATATGTAACGCACACATATATAATATTCACACACATATATAACACACACATATATAACACACACACATATATAACACACACACATAACACACACACACACACATATATAACACACACAAATATAACACACACATATATATAATACTCACACACACATATAAATAACACACACACATATATAACACACACACATATATATAACACACACATATATAACACACACATATATAACACACACATATATATAACACACACGTATATATAACACACACACATATAACACACACATACACATATATAACACACACATATATATAACACACACATATATATATAACACACACATATATAACACATATATAACACACACACATATATATCACACACATATATAACACACATATATATAATACTCACACACACATATATAACACACACATATATATAATACTCACACACACATATATAACACACACATATATATAATACTCACACACACATATATAACACACACATATATAATACTCACACACACATATATAACACACACATATATATAACACACACATATATATAACACACACATATATATAACACACACATATATAACACACACACATATATAACAAGACAATACTTGTACGTTTGCATGTGGCACTGTAAAATAAGAAAAAAAGGCACACAGTAACTAAAACAAAGTAACAGCAGAAACACAAATTGTGTTTGTACTCAGACTGACGTGTTTGTCGTAAGGGGGCAATGAGTCACCACAATTACACACACAATACACACACACACAAACACACACACACTACACACACACACTACACACAGACAGACAGACACACACAGACACACACACACAGACAGACAGACACACACAGACACACACACTACACACACACACAGACACTACACACACAGACACACAGACAGACACACACAGACACACAGACAGACACACAGAGACAGACACACACAGACACACACAGACACACAGACAGACACACAGACAGACACACTACACACACACAGACACACACTACACACACACACAGACACACACACAGACAGACACAAAGACACACACACAGACACACAGACACACCAATACCTGTAGGCCGGCACTGGCACCACCAACCACCAACCACCACCACCACCAACCACCACAACCACCACAACCAACCACCACTAACAACCACCACCACCAACCACCACAACCACCACCACAACCACCACCAACCACCACCACCACCAACCACCACCAACCACCACAACCACCACAACCACCACCACCAACCACCACCAACCACCACCACCAACCACCACAACCACCACAACCACCACCAACAACCACCACCACCACAACCACCACCACAACCACCACCAACCACCAACCACCACCAACCACCAACCACCACAACCACCACAACCACCACCACCAACCACCACCAACCACCACCACCAACCACCACCACCACCAACCACCACCACCAACCACCACCACCACCACCAACCACCACCACTAACCACCACCAACCATCACAACCACCACCAACCACATACACCACCACCAACCACCACCACCACCAACCACCACCACCACCAACCACCACCACCACCACCAACCACCACCACAACCACCACCACCAACCACCAACCACCACCAACCATCACAACCACCACCAACCACATCCACCACCACCAACCACCACCAACCACCACCACCAACCACCACCAACCACCACCACCAACCACCACCACCACCAACCACCACCACAACCACCACCAACCACCACCACCAACCACCACCAACCATCACAACCACCACCAACCACATCCACCACCACCAACCACCACCACCACCAACCACCACCACCAACCACCACAACCACCACCAACCACCACCACCAACCACCACCACCAACCACCACCACCACCAACCACCACCACAACCACCACCACCAACCACCACCACCAACCACCACCAACCATCACAACCACCACCAACCACCTCCACCACCAACCACCACCACCACCAACCACCACCACCAACCACCACAACCACCACCACCAACCACCACCACCAACCACCACCACCAACCACCACCACCAACCACCACCAACCATCACAACCACCACCAACCACATCCACCACCACCAACCACCACCACCACCAACCACCACCACCAACCACCACAACCACCACCACCAACCACCACCACCAACCACCACCACCAACCACCACCACCACCAACCACCACCACAACCACCACCACCAACCACCAACCACCACCAACCATCACAACCACCACCAACCACATCCACCACCACCAACCACCACCACCACCCACCACCACCACCAACCACCAACCCCCCCCACCAACCACCACCACCACCAACCACCACCACACCCACCACCACCAACCACCACCAACCATCACAACCACCACCAACCACATCCACCACCACCAACCACCACCACCACCAACCACCACCACCAACCACCACAACCACCACCACCAACCACCACCACCAACCACCACCACCAACCACCACCACCACCAACCACCACCACAACCACCACCACCAACCACCACCACCAACCACCACCAACCATCACAACCACCACCAACCACATACACCACCACCAACCACCAACACCAACAACCACCACCACCAACCACCACAACCACCACCACAAACCACCACCACCAACCACAACCACCAACCACCACCACCACCACCCACCAACACAACCACCACCACCAACCACCAACCACCACCAACCATCACAACCACCACCAACCACATCCACCACCACCAACCACCACCAACCACCACCACCAACCACCACCAACCACCACCACCAACCACCACCACCACCAACCACCACCACAACCACCACCAACCACCACCACCAACCACCACCAACCATCACAACCACCACCAACCATATCCACCACCACCAACCACCACCACCACCAACCACCACCACCAACCCCCACACCCACCACCCACCACCACCACCACCACCCACCAAACACCACCACAACCACCAACCACCCCCAACCACAACCACCAACCACCACCCCCAACCACCACCAACCATCACAACCACCACCAACCACCACCACCACCAACCACCACCACCACCAACCACCACCACCAACCACCACAACCACCACCACCAACCACCACCACCAACCACCACCACCAACCACCACCAACCATCACAACCACCACCAACCACATCCACCACCACCAACCACCACCACCAACCACCACAACCACCACCACCAACCACCACCACCAACCACCACCACCAACCACCACCACCACCAACCACCACCACAACCACCACCACCAACCACCAACCACCACCAACCATCACAACCACCACCAACCACATCCACCAACACCAACCCCCACGACCCCCCACCCCCCCCAACCACCCCACCCACCACCACCAACCACCACCACCAACCCCCACCACCACCAACCACCACCACAACCACCACCACCAACCACCACCACCAACCACCACCAACCATCACAACCACCACCAACCACATCCACCACCACCAACCACCACCACCACCAACCACCACCACCAACCACCACAACCACCACCACCAACCACCACCACCAACCACCACCACCAACCACCACCACCACCAACCACCACCACAACCACCACCACCAACCACCACCACCAACCACCACCAACCATCACAACCACCACCAACCACCTCCACCACATCCACCACCACCAACCACCACAATATGCGAGGCGTTAGCTGCGTAATATAGATCACATTATTGTAGTAAAACTTGTCTATTACAGTCTCACGCACCGTGTGTAAGATGTTCACTGTGTGTAAGGTGTTCACTGTGTGTAAGGTGTTCACCGTGTGTAAGGTGTTCACGGTGTGTAAGGTGTTCACTGTGTAAGGTGTTCACTGTGTAAGGTGTTCACGGTGTGTAAGGTGTTCACTGTAAGGTGTTCACTGTGTAAGGTGTTCCCTGTGTAAGGTGTTCACTGTGTAAGGTGTTCACTGTGTAAGGTGTTCACTGTGTAAGGTGTTCACTGTGTAAGGTGTTCACCGTGTGTAAGGTGTTCACTGTGTAAGGTGTTCACTGTGTAAGGTGTTCACTGTAAGGTGTTCACTGTAAGGTGTTCACGGTGTGTAAGGTGTTCACCGTGTGTAAGGTGTTCACGGTGTGTAAGGTGTTCACTGTGTAAGGTGTTCACTGTGTAAGGTGTTCACTGTGTGTAAGGTGTTCACCGTGTGTAAGGTGTTCACGGTGTGTAAGGTGTTCACTGTGTAAGGTGTTCACTGTGTGTAAGGTGTTCACTGTGTAAGGTGTTCACTGTAAGGTGTTCACGGTGTGTAAGGTGTTCACTATAAGGTGTTCACTGTGTGTAAGGTGTTCACTGTGTAAGGTGTTCACTGTGTGTAAGGTGTTCACTATAAGGTGTTCACTGTGTGTAAGGTGTTCACTGTGTAAGGTGTTCACTGTGTAAGGTGTTCACTGTGTGTAAGGTGTTCACTGTGTAAGGTGTTCACTGTAAGGTGTTCACTGTGTAAGGTGTTCACGGTGTAAGGTGTTCACTGTGTAAGGTGTTCACGGTGTGTAAGGTGTTCACTGTGTGTAAGGTGTTCACTGTGTAAGGTGTTCACTGTGTAAGGTGTTCACTGTGTGTAAGGTGTTCACTGTAAGGTGTTCACTGTGTAAGGTGTTCACGGTGTGTAAGGTGTTCACTGTGTAAGGTGTTCACACTGTGTGTAAGGTATCACACACATATATAACACACATATATAATACTCACACACACATATATAACACACACATATATATAATACTCACACACACATATATATAACACACACATATATATAATACTCACACACACATATATAACACACACATATATAATACTCACACACACATATATAACACACACATATATATAACACACACATATATATAACACACACATATATATAACACACACATATATAACACACACACATATATAACAAGACAATACTTGTACGTTTGCATGTGGCACTGTAAAATAAGAAAAAAAAGGCATACAGTAACTAAAACAAAGTAACAGAGCAGAAACACAAATTGTGTTTGTACTCAGACTGACGTGTTTGTCGTAAGGGGGCAATGAGTCACCACAATTACACACACACTACACACACACACAAACACACACACACTACACACACACTACACACAGACAGACAGACACACACAGACACACACACACAGACAGACACACACAGACACACACACTACACACACACACAGACACTACACACACAGACACACAGACAGACACACACAGACACACAGACAGACACACAGAGACAGACACACACAGACACACAGACAGACACACAGACAGACACACTACACACACACAGACACACACTACACACACACACAGACACACACACAGACAGACACAAAGACACACACACAGACACACAGACACACACATACCTGTAGGCCGGCACTGGCACCACCAACCACCAACCACCACCACCACCAACCACCACAACCACCACAACCAACCACCACCAACAACCACCACCACCACCAACCACCACCAACCACCACAACCACCACCACAACCACCACCAACCACCACCACCACCAACCACCACCAACCACCACAACCACCACAACCACCACCACCAACCACCACCAACCACCACCACCAACCACCACAACCACCACAACCACCACCAACAACCACCACCACCACAACCACCACCACAACCACCACCAACCACCAACCACCACAACCACCACAACCACCACCACCAACCACCACCAACCACCACCACCAACCACCACCACCAACCACCACCACCCCCAACCACCACCCCCAACCACCACCACCCCCCCCCCCCACCACACCCCACCACCACCACCACCCACCACCACCAACCACCACCAACCACATCCACCACCACCAACCACCACCACCAACCACCACCACCAACCACCACAACCACCACCACCAACCACCACCACCAACCACCACCACCAACCACCACCACAACCACCACCACCAACCACCAACCACCACCAACCATCACAACCACCACCAACCACCTCCACCACATCCACCACCACCAACCACCAACCACCAACCACCAACCACCACCAACCACCACCACAACCACCACCACCACCACCAACCATCACAACCACCACCAACCACACCAACCACCACCACCACCAACCACCACCAACCACCACAACCACCACCACCCACCACCACCACCAACCACCACCACCACCAACCACCACCACAACCACCAACACCAACCACCACCACCCACCATCACAACCACCACCAACCACCTCCACCACATCCACCACCACCAACCACCACAATATGCGAGGCGTTAGCTGCGTAATATAGATCACATTATTGTAGTAAAACTTGTCTATTACAGTCTCACGCACCGTGTGTAAGATGTTCACTGTGTGTAAGGTGTTCACTGTGTGTAAGGTGTTCACCGTGTGTAAGGTGTTCACGGTGTGTAAGGTGTTCACTGTGTAAGGTGTTCACTGTGTAAGGTGTTCACTGTGTGTAAGGTGTTCACCGTGTGTAAGGTGTTCACGGTGTGTAAGGTGTTCACTGTGTAAGGTGTTCACTGTGTAAGGTGTTCACTGTGTAAGGTGTTCACGGTGTGTAAGGTGTTCACTGTAAGGTGTTCACTGTGTAAGGTGTTCACTGTAAGGTGTTCACTGTGTAAGGTGTTTACTGTGTAAGGTGTTCACTGTGTAAGGTGTTCACTGTGTAAGGTGTTCACTGTGTGTAAGGTGTTCACTGTGTAAGGTGTTCACTGTGTAAGGTGTTCACCGTGTGTAAGGTGTTCACTGTGTAAGGTGTTCACTGTGTAAGGTGTTCACTGTAAGGTGTTCACTGTGTAAGGTGTTCACTGTAAGGTGTTCACGGTGTGTAAGGTGTTCACGGTGTGTAAGGTGTTCACTGTGTAAGGTGTTCACTGTGTAAGGTGTTCACTGTGTGTAAGGTGTTCACCGTGTGTAAGGTGTTCACGGTGTGTAAGGTGTTCACTGTGTAAGGTGTTCACTGTGTGTAAGGTGTTCACTGTGTAAGGTGTTCACTGTAAGGTGTTCACGGTGTGTAAGGTGTTCACTATAAGGTGTTCACTGTGTGTAAGGTGTTCACTGTGTAAGGTGTTCACTGTGTGTAAGGTGTTCACTATAAGGTGTTCACTGTGTGTAAGGTGTTCACTGTGTAAGGTGTTCACTGTGTAAGGTGTTCACTGTGTGTAAGGTGTTCACTGTGTAAGGTGTTCACTGTAAGGTGTTCACTGTGTAAGGTGTTCACGGTGTGTAAGGTGTTCACTGTGTGTAAGGTGTTCACTGTGTAAGGTGTTCACTGTGTAAGGTGTTCACTGTGTAAGGTGTTCACTGTGTGTAAGGTGTTCACTGTAAGGTGTTCACTGTGTAAGGTGTTCACTGTGTAAGGTGTTCACACTGTGTGTAAGGTGTTCACTGTAAGGTGTTCACTGTGTAAGGTGTTCACGGTGTGTAAGGTGTTCACTTTGTGTAAGGTGTTCACTGTAAGGTGTTCACTGTAAGGTGTTCACTGTAAGGTGTTCACGGTGTGTAAGGTGTTCACTGTAAGGTGTTCACGGTGTGTAAGGTGTTCACTGTGTAAGGTGTTCACGGTGTGTAAGATGTTCACTGTGTAAGGTGTTCACTGTGTAAGGTGTTCACGGTGTGTAAGGTGTTCACTGTGTAAGGTGTTCACTGAGTAAGGTGGTCACTGGGAGACACGGGGAGAGACACACGGTGGGAGACACACAGTGGGAGACACGGGGAGACACGGGGAGACACGGGGGGACAGGGAGACACGGGGAGAGACACGGGGGAGACACTGGGAGAGACACGGTGGGGGACACGGGGGAGACACTGGGAGACACGGGGGGACAGGGAGAGGACATGGGGTGGGGGCACACGGGGGGAGACGAGGGGGGCATGGGGGACACGGGGAGACACACGGTGGGGGACACTGAGAGACACGGTGGGGGACATGGGGAGACACGGGGGGACAGGGAGACACGGGGGAGACACGGGGAGAGATACGGTGGGAGACACGGTGGGGGACATGGGGAGCTTTATAGCTCATCGGATTCCTCCTGCAGTATAAAGAGAGATTGTCTCCCCCGTGTCTCCCCCGTGTCTCCCCGTGTCTCCCCCGTGTCCCCCCGTGTCTCCCCGTTTCTCCCCCGTGTCCCCCCGTGTCTCCCCCGTGTCTCCCCGTGTCTCCCTCCCCGTGTCTCCCTCCCCGTGTCTCCCCCGTGTCTCCCCCGTGTCCCCCCGTTTCTCCCCCGTGTCCCCCCGTGTCCCCCCGTTTCTCCCCCGTGTCCCCCCGTGTCTCCCCCGTGTCCCCCCGTGTCTCCCCCGTGTCTCCCCCGTGTCTCCCCGTGTCTCCCCTGTGTCTCCCCCGTGTCTCCCCCGTGTCTCCCCCGTGTCCCCCCGTTTCTCCCCCGTGTCCCCCCGTGTCCCCCCGTGTCCCCCCGTGTCTCCCCGTGTCTCCCCGTGTCCCCCCGTGTCTCCCCCGTGTCCCCCCGTGTCCCCCCGTGTCTCCCCCGTGTCCCCCCCGTGTTCCCCTTGTCCCCCCGTGTCTCCCCCGTGTCTCCCCGTGTCCCCCCTTGTCTCCCCGTGTCTCCCTCCCCGTGTCCCCCCGTGTCCCCCCCCTCCCCGTGTGTCCCCAGTGAAGATCGGAGGCTTCTATCTCGTGTTCTACGGCTGCCTGTCGGCTCTCTTCGTGGCCACGATCCACGTGATGCTGCTCACCCTGGACGAGTTCAAGCCCAAGTGGCAGGACCGCGTGAGCCCTCCCGGTGAGCCACGGGGGACACGGGGGGACAGACACTCCGTGTCTCCGTGTCTCTGTGTCTCCGTGTCTCCGTGTCTCTGTGTGTCTGTGTCTCTGTGTGTCTCCGTGTCTCCGTGTCTCTGTGTGTCTGTGTCTCTGTGTGTCTCCGTGTCTGTGTGTCTCTGTGTGTCTGTGTCTCTGTGTGTCTGTGTGTCTCCGTGTCTGTGTCTCCGTGTCTCCGTGTCTCTGTGTGTCTGTGTCTCCGTGTCTCTGTGTGTCTGTGTGTCTGTGTGTCTCCGTGTCTCTGTGTGTCTGTGTCTCTGTGTGTCTGTGTGTCTGTGTCTCCGTGTCTCCGTGTCCCCGTGTCCCCGTGTCTCCGTGTCTCTGTGTCTCTGTGTCTGTGTCTCTGTGTCTCTGTCCCCGTGTCCCGTCTCTCCGTGTCTCTGTGTCTCCGTGTCTTTGTGTCTCTGTGTCTCTGTGTCTCCGTGTCTCCGTGTCTCTGTGTCTCTGTGTCTCTGTGTCCCCGTGTCTCTGTGTCCCTGTCTCTGTGTCTGTGTCTCCGTGTCTCTGTCTCCGTGTCCCCGTGTCTCTGACCCCCGCCCGTGCCCCGCCCCCCCAGGTCTGTCGATGCGTCCTCGTGCCCACAAGATGGAGATCGCCTTCTCCATGGACAGCAGCAACTCGTTCTCAGCCCACGTGGACAGCATGAACCACCTGCTGCAGTCCTACGTCGACGAGAAGCAGCAGAAGCTCAAAGACTGTGGTGAGGAGCTCCTCACCACCACCATCACCTACTCACCACCACCACCACCTACTCACCACCACCACCACCACCACCTCACCACCATCACCTACTCACCACCACCACCACCTACTCACCACCACCACCACCACCACCTCACCACCACCACCTACTCACCACCACCACCTACTCACCACCACCTACTCACCACCACCACCATCACCTACTCACCACCACCACCTACTCACCACCACCTACTCACCACCACCACCACCACCTCACCACCACCACCACCTCACCACCACCACCTACTCACCACCACCACCTACTCACCACCACCTACTCACCACCACCACCACCATCACCTACTCACCACCACCACCTACTCACCACCACCTACTCACCACCACCACCACCACCTACTCACCACCACCACCACCTACTTACCACCACCACCACCTACTCACCACCACCACCACCTACTCACCACCACCACCTACTCACCACCACCTACTCACCACCACCACCTACTAACCACCACCACCACCACCACCTACTCACCACCTACTCACCACCACCTACTCACCACCACCACCTACTCACCACCACCATCTACTCACCACCACCACCACCTACTCACCACCACCACCACCACCACATACTCACCACCACCACCTACTCACCACCACCACCACCTACTCACCACCACCACCACCTACTCACCACCACCACCACCTACTCACCACCACCACCTACTCACCACCACCACCACCTACTCACCACCACCACCACCTACTCACGACCACCACCACCACCTACTCACCACCACCACCACCACGTATTCACCACCACCACCACCACCTACTCACCACCACCACCACCTACTCACCACCACCACCACCTACTCACCACCACCACCACCACCTACTCACCACCACCACCTACTCACCACCACCACCACCTACTCACCACCACCACCTACTCACCACCACCACCTACTCTCCACCACCACCACCTACTCACCACCACCACCTACTCACCACCACCACCACCACCTACTCACCACCACCACCTACTCTCCACCACCACCACCTACTCACCACCACCACCTACTCACCACCACCACCACCACCTACTCACCACCACCACCTACTCTCCACCACCACCTACTCACCACCACCACCACCTACTCACCACCACCACCTACTCTCCACCACCACCTACTCACCACCACCACCACCTACTCACCACCACCACCACCTACTCACCACCACCACCTACTCACCACCACCACCACCAACTCACCACCACCACCACCTACTCACCACCACCACCACCTACTCACCACCACCACCACCTACTCACCACCACCACCACCTACTCACCACCACCACCTACTCACCACCACCACCAACACCTACTCACTACCACCACCACCACCTACTCACCACCACCACCACCTACTCACCACCACCACCACCACCTACTCACCACCACCACCACCACCTACTCACCACCACCACCACCACCTACTCACCACCACCACCACCACCTACTCACCACCACCACTACCACCTACTCACCACCACCTCACCACCACCACCACCACCTACTCACCACCACCACCTACTCACCACCACCACCACCACCTACTCACCACCACCTACTCACCACCACCACCACCACCACCTACTCACCACCACCACCTACTCACCACCACCACCACCTACTCACCACCACCACCTCCACCACCTACTCACCACCACCTACTCACCACCACCACCTACTCACCACCACCACCACCACCTACTCACCACCACCACCTACTCACCACCACCACCACCACTTCACCACCACCACCACCTACTCACCACCACCTACTCACCACCACCACCTACTCACCACCACCACCTACTCACCACCTACTCACCACCACCTACTCACCACCACCTACTCACCACCACCTACTCACCACCACCACCTACTCGGCACCACCACCTACTCACCACCACCACCACCACCTACTCACCACCACCACCTACTCACCACCACCACCACCACCTACTCACCACCACCTACTCACCACCACCACCACCTACTCACCACCACCACCTACTCACCACCACCACCACCTACTCACCACCACCTACTCACCACCACCTACTCACCACCACCTACTCACCACCACCTACTCACCACCACCACCACCTACTCACCATCTCAAGTTGTTATCGCCGTTAATATCCCCTTCACGTGGTTGCTGTGGTGGTGATTGTGGTTGTTGTCGTGATTGTGGTTGTGGTGACTGTTATAGTGGTGATTGTGGTTGGTGGTGATTGCGGTGGTGATTGTGGTTGTGGTGATGATTGCGGTGGTGATTGTGGTTGTGGTGGTGATTGCGGTGGTGATTGTGGTGGTGATTGCGGTAGTGACTGTAGTGATTGTAGTGATTGTGGTAGTGATTGTGGTGGTGATTGTGGTGGTGATTGTAGTGATTGAGGTGGTGATTGTGGTGATTGTGGTGGTGATTGTGGTGATTGTGGTTGTGATTGTGGTGGTTATTGTAGTGATTGTGGTGGTGATTGTAGTGATTGTGGTGGTGATTGTGGTGGTGATTGTAGTGATTGTGGTGGTGATTGTGGTGATTGTGGTGGTGATTGTAGTGATTGTGGTGGTGATTGTGGTAGTGATTGTAATGATTGTGGTGGTGAATGTGGTAGTGATTGTGGTAGTGATTGTGGTGGTGATTGTGGTATTGATTGTAGTGATTGTGGTGGTGATTGTGGTGATTGTGGTGATTGTGGTGGTGATTGTAGTGATTGTGGTGGTGATTGTGGTGGTGATTGTGGTGGTGATTGTGGTGGTGATTGTAGTGGTGATTGTGGCGGTGATTGTGGTGGTGATTGTAGTGATTGTGGTGGTGATTGTGGTGATTGTGGTGGTGATTGTAGTGATTGTGGTGGTGATTGTAGTGATTTTGGTGGTGATTGTGGTGATTGTGGTGATTGTAGTGATTGTGGCGATTGTGGTGGTGATTGTAGTGATTGTGGTGGTGATTGTAGTAATTGTGGTGGTGATTGTAGTGATTGTGGTGGTGATTGTGGTGATTGTGGTGGTGATTGTGGTGATTGTAGTGATTGTGGTGGTGATTGTAGTGATTGTGGTGGTGATTGTGGTGGTGATTGTGGTGATTGAGGTGGTGATTGTGGTGGTGATTGTAGTGATTGTGGTGGTGATTGTAGTGATTGTGGTGGTGATTGTAGTGATTTTGGTGGTGATTGTGGTGATTGTGGTGATTGTAGTGATTGTGGCGATTGTGGTGGTGATTGTAGTGATTGTGGTGGTGATTGTAGTAATTGTGGTGGTGATTGTAGTGATTGTGGTGGTGATTGTGGTGATTGTGGTGGTGATTGTGGTGATTGTAGTGATTGTGGTGGTGATTGTAGTGATTGTGGTGGTGATTGTGGTGGTGATTGTGGTGATTGAGGTGGTGATTGTGGTGGTGATTGTAGTGATTGTGGTGGTGATTGTGGTGGTGATTGTGGTGATTGAGGTGGTGATTGTGGTGGTGATTGTGGTGATTGTGGTGGTGACTGGTGGTGACTGTGGTGGTTGTTGTGGTAGTGATTGTAGTGATTGTGGTGGTGATTGTGGTGGTGATTGTGGTGGTGATTGTAGTGATTGTTGTGGTGATTGTGGTGGTGATTGTGGTGGTGATTGTAGTGATTGTGGTGATTGTGGTGGTGATTGTAGTGATTGTAGTGATTGTGGTGGTGATTGTGGTGGTGATTGTGGTGGTGATTGTGGTGGTGATTGTAGTGATTGTTGTGGTGATTGTGGTGGTGATTGTAGTGATTGTGGTGATTGTGGTGGTGATTGTAGTGATTGTAGTGATTGTGGTGGTGATTGTGGTGGTGATTGTGGTGACTGTGGTGGTGACTGTGGTGGTGATTGTGGTGACTGTGGTGGTGACTGTGGTGGTGACTGTGGTGGTGACTGTGGTGGTGACTGTGGTGGTGACTGTGGTGGTGACTGTGGTGGTGACTGTGGTGGTGACTGTGGTGGTTGTTCCTGCAGGCGAGTTCCCGCTGGGCCCACGTGACCAGGGCGCCGTGAACGCCGGCCGTGGGCCCCGCTCCTCCTGCCGCTTTCAGCGCCAGTGGCTGGGGCCGTGCTCCGGCCTGGAGGACCCCAGCTACGGCTTCGCCAGCGGGGAGCCCTGCATCATCATTAAGATGAACCGTGTCATCGGATTCGTGCCCGAGGTCGCTGGGGTCACTAGCTGGGGTCACTCGCGGGGTCACTAGCTGGGTCACTCGCTGGGTCACTCGCTGGGGTCACTAGCGGGGTCACTCGCTGGGTCACTAGCTGGGGTCACTAGCGGGGTCACTCGCGGGGTCACTCGCTGGGTCACTCGCTGGGTCACTCGCTGGGGTCACTCGCTGGGTCACTCGCTGGGTCACTAGCTGGGGTCACTCGCGGGGTCATTCGCTGGGGTCACTCGCTGGGTCACTCGCTGGGTCACTAGCTGGGGTCACTCGCTGGGGTCACTCGCTGGGTCACTCGCTGGGGTCACTCGCTGGGGTCACTAGCGGGGTCACTTGCTGGGGTCACTCACTGGGGTCACTCGCTGGGTCACTCGCTGGGTCACTCGCTGGGGTCACTAGCGGGGTCACTCGCTGGGGTCACTCGCTGGGGTCACTAGCGGGGTCACTCACTGGGTCACTAGCGGGGTCACTCACTGGGTCACTCGCTGGGTCACTCGCTGGGGTCACTAGCGGGGTCACTCACTGGGTCACTAGCGGGGTCACTCGCTGGGGTCACTCGCTGGGTCACTAGCGGGGTCACTAGCGGGGTCACTCGCTGGGTTCACTAGCGGGGTCACTCGCTGGGGTCACTCGCTGGGGTCACTAGCGGGGTCACTCACTGGGTCACTAGCGGGGTCACTCACTGGGTCACTCGCTGGGTCACTCGCTGGGGTCACTAGCGGGGTCACTCACTGGGTCACTAGCGGGGTCACTCGCTGGGGTCACTCGCTGGGTCACTAGCGGGGTCACTAGCGGGGTCACTTGCTGGGTTCACTAGCGGGGTCACTCGCTGGGGTCACTCGCTGGGGTCACTTGTGAGATCACTCGCGGGGTCACTGGCGAGGTTACTCGCTGGGTCACTGGGTCACTCACGGGGTCACTGGGTCACTCACGGGGTCACTGGGTCACTCACGGGGTCACTGTCTAACCCCGTGTCTGTGCCCCGCATGTCCCCAGGTGGCCCCCAACGCGAGTCTCCCCAATGAAGTTCTGCGTCACTACAACCCCAACATCATCCCCGTTACCTGTGCAGCAAAGGTCAGCCAGGAGGGGGGTCACCAGTGACGTGCGGCCAGGGGAGGCAGGGGAGGCAGAGCCTCACCTGTCAGACGCCAATAAAAATAGCTGTCACCAAAAATAAATATTATTAAATCAACGTTCAGATTTTTCCACTGACGTGTTAAATTTCTCCACGATTCCAATCACAGAGAAATTTATCAAAATCGGCAAATTTGCGGCGCTCCGCTGCAAATAGCGGAAGGGACGAGAGGGGGTGAGGCAGCGAGAGGCTCAGCCTCCCCTCTGATTGCGCAACCCCTCAGAAACTGGATGGAGCGCGGGCAATAAGAGCGTGCCTGTTACTGTCTCTCTGTGTCACCAACGTGATGTTTGTAGACCCCTTCATTACATCTCCTCGCCTTACATACTCCAGGTAACTTATTTGACGTTCGAGTATAAAGATATTTAGGCTCGCTGGTCTCGTCATGAAACTGCAGTGAAAAAGCACCAGGGGAGGCAGCTATCACATCTGCCTCACTGAGGGGGGCGTGTCAGACACGCCCCCCTCAGTGAGGCCACGCCCCCCCTCAGTGAGGCCACGCCCCCCCCCCCCTCAGTGTGTGAATCTGGCTCTGACACCAGCCAGTGCCTCCCCAGCCATTGACCTCACTGCACGTCACTGGGGGTCAGTCACAGGGGTCACAGTCACAGGGGTCACAGTCACAGGGGTCACAGTCACGGGGGTCACAGTCACGGAGGTCACAGTCACAGGGGTCACAGTCACGGGGGTCAGGGTCACGGTGTGGCTACTGCTGCGTAACCATTGCCAGTAGGTGACTGGGGCCTACAACCGTGATGTTTGCACGGTCACACACACACACACCCACGTGACCCCACCCACCCACCCACGCGACCACACCCACCCACGCGACCCCACCCACCCACCCACGCGACCACACCCACCCACTCACCCACCCACTCACCCACCCACTCACCCACCCACTCACCCACCCACTCACACACCCACCCACCAACGTGACCCCACCCACCCACTCACGCGATCCCACCCACCCACGCGACCACACCCACCCACGCGACCACACCCACCCACTCACCCACCCACTCACCAACGCGACCCCACCCCCACCTCCTGCCCACCCCTTGCATCAACCACCACATCCACCCCCCCCCAACCCCCATGTCCACCACCACCACCACCTCCCCTCCCTTCCCTCCCTCCCCGCCCCCAGAGGGAGGAGGACCGCGGCAGCCTGGGCGGCTTCTCGTACCACGGCATGGGCGGCCACGCGGGCTTCCCGCTGCACTACTTCCCGTACTACGGCGTGCGCCTGCAGGAGGATTACGTCGCGCCGCTGCTGGCCGTGCGGGTGCTGAACGCGTCGCGCGGCGCCGAGCTGCGTCTGGAGTGCCGCGTGCACGCCGCCAACGCGGCCACGAGCGAGCGCGACCGCTTCCTGGGCCGCGTCGAGTTCAAGCTCAACGTGAGGGCGCCCGGCGAGACCGCCGGGGACTAGAGGGGGGGAGAGGCCGGCGGGGTCGGGGCCCCACGGTCGCCGTGGAGACCGCGGGTGACTAGGTACCCACTGTCACTACCGTCACCATGGAGACCGCCGGTGACTAGGTACCCACCGTCCCTACCGTCACCATGGAAACTGCGGGTGACTAGGTACCCACCGTCACTACCGTCACCATGGAGACCGATGGGGTCGCCCACGGTCACCGTGGAGACCGTGGGTGACTAGGTACCCACCGTCACTACCGTCACCATGGAGACCGCGGGTGATACCCACCGTCACTACCGTCACCATGGAGACCGCCGGTGACTAGGTACCCACCGTCACTACCGTCACCATGGAGACCGACGGGGTTGCCCACGGTCACCGTGGAGACCGTGGGTGACTAGGTACCCACCGTCACTACCGTCACCATGGAGACCAACGGGGTCGCCCACGGTCACCGTGGAGACCGCCGGTGACTAGGTACCCACCGTCACTACCGTCACCATGGAGACCGACGGGGTTGCCCACGGTCACCGTGGAGACCGCGGGTGACTAGGTACCCACCGTCACTACCGTCACCATGGAGACCGCCGGTGACTAGGTACCCACTGTCACTACCGTCACCATGGAGACCGCCGGTGACTAGGTACCCACCGTCACTACCGTCACCATGGAGACCGCCGGTGACTAGGTACCCACCGTCACTACCGTCACCATGGAGACCGCCGGTGACTAGGTACCCACTGTCACTACCGTCACCATGGAGACCGCCGGTGACTAGGTACCCACTGTCACTACCGTCACCATGGAGACCGCCGGTGACTAGGTACCCACCGTCACTACCGTCACCATGGAGACCGCCGGTGACTAGGTACCCACCGTCACTACCGTCACCATGGAGACCGCCGGTGACTAGGTACCCACTGTCACTACCGTCACCATGGAGACCGCCGGTGACTAGGTACCCACCGTCACTACCGTCACTATGGAGACCGCAGGTGACTAGGTACCCACCGTCACTACCGTCACTATGGAGACCGCGGGTGACTAGGTACCCACCGTCACTACCGTCACTATGGAGACCGACGGGGTCGCCCACGGTCACCGTGGAGACCGTGGGTGACTAGGTACCCACCGTCACTACCGTCACCATGGAGACCGACGGGGTTGCCCACGGTCACCATGGAGATCGCCGGTGACTAGGTACCCACCGTCACTACCGTCACCATGGAGACCGCCGGTGACTAGGTACCCACCGTCACTACCGTCACCATGGAGACCGCCGGTGACTAGGTACCCACCGTCACTACCGTCACCATGGAGACCGCCGGTGACTAGGTACCCACCGTCACTACCGTCACCATGGAGACCGCCGGTGACTAGGTACCCACCACCACCGTTGCCGTGGACACAACGGGCGGCGATGGATTCATCGTCACCAGTTGCCATGGAGACCAGTGGCGACGAGACACCGCCTTCACCACCGCCGTCGCCGAGGACACCACAAGCAATATACCCCCCACCCGTTGCCATGGCTACCCTGAACCCCTCTCAACACAGAAGCCGCTGAGACCCTGCCACCTCCAACAGTGGTGGTGGTGGTGGTGTGGTGGTGGTGGTGGTGTGGTGGTGGTGGTGGTGTGGTGGTGGTGGTGGTGTGGTGGTGGTGGTGGTGGTAGTGGTGGTGGTTGTACCCTAACGTCACAGCAGCAGCAGCAACCGGTATGATAATAAAAATGATGACTATGAGTCGTGTCGGTGTTGTCAAAGAGTTTTATCATTACCAGAGGCTCGGAGGGGGGGTGGCGGAGGGAGGGATGGTGGTGGGGGGAGGGGGGAGTGAGGGGTGGTGGTGGGGGGAGGGGTAGTGGGGGGAGGGAGGGTGACGGAGGGGGGGAGGAGAACGGTGGTGGTGTGGAGGAGGAGGAGGGGGGTGAGGATGTGGTGAGTGGTGGTGAGTGGTGGTGGTGAGTGGTGAGTGGTGGTGGTGAGTGGTGAGTGGTGGTGGTGAGTGGTGAGTGGTGGTGGTGAGGGAAGTGGTGAGTGGTGGTGGTGAGGGAGTGAGGGAAGTGGTGAGTGGTGAGTGGTGGTGGTGGTGAGGGAAGTGGTGGTGAGTGGTGGTGAGATTCTTGGTTGAACTATCAGGGTTCAGTTGTCAAGAATCCGAAAGAAATATTCAACCTGCGGAGACACGGAGACACAGAGACACAGAGACACGGAGACACAGATATACAGAGACACGGAGACACAGAGACACAGAGACACGGAGACACGGAGACACAGAGACACGGGGACACAGAGACACGGAGACACAGAGACACGGAGACACAGATATACAGAGACACGGAGACACAGAGACACGGAGACACGGAGACACAGAGACACGGAGACACAGAGACACGGGGACACAGACACGGAGACACGGAGACAGAGATACAGAGACAGATATACGGAGACAGAGATACGGGGACACGGGGACACAGAGATACGGAGACACAGAGACACAGAGACACGGGGACACAGAAACACGGAGACATACAGAGACACAGACACGGAGATACAGAGACACGGAGACAGGGAGACACAGAGATACGGAGACACAGAGACACGGGGACACAGATACGGAGACACGGGGACACGGAGACACAGAGATACGGAGACAGAGATACAGAGACACGGAGACAGAGACACGGAGACAGAGACACGGGGACACAGATACGGAGACACAGATACGGAGACATACGGAGACATACGGAGACACAGACACGGAGACACAGAGACACAGGGACACAGAGATACGGAGACAGAGACATGGAGACAAAGAGACGGGGACACAGATACGGAGACACGGAGACACAGATACGGAGACACGGAGACACAGAGACACAGAGACACGGGGACACAGAGACACGGAGATACGGAGACACAGACACAGAGACACGGGGACACGGAGACACGGAGATACGGAGATACAGAGACACGGGGACACGGAGACACAGAGACGGGGACACAGATACGGAGACACGGAGACACAGAGACACAGAGACACGGGGACACGGAGATACGGAGACACAGAGACACAGAGACACGGGGACACAGAGACACGGAGATACAGAGACACGGAGACACAGAGACACGGGGACACAGAGACACGGAGACACAGACACGGAGACACAGAGACACGGGGACACAGAGACACGGAGACACGGAGACAGAGATACAGAGACAGATATACGGAGACAGAGATACGGGGACACGGGGACACAGAGACACGGAGATACGGAGACACAGAGACACAGAGACACGGGGACACAGAAACACGGAGACATACAGAGACACAGACACGGAGATACAGAGACACGGAGACAGGGAGACACAGAGATACGGAGACACAGAGACACGGGGACACAGATACGGAGACACGGGGACACGGAGACACAGAGATACGGAGACAGAGATACAGAGACACGGAGACAGAGACACGGAGACAGAGACACGGGGACACAGATACGGAGACACAGATACGGAGACAGATACGGAGACATACGGAGACACAGACACGGAGACACAGAGACACAGGGACACAGAGATACGGAGACAGAGACATGGAGACAAAGAGACGGGGACACAGATACGGAGACACGGAGACACAGATACGGAGACACGGAGACACAGAGACACAGAGACACGGGGACACAGAGACACGGAGATACGGAGACACAGACACAGAGACACGGAGACACGGAGATACGGAGATACAGAGACACGGGGACACGGAGACACAGAGACGGGGACACAGATACGGAGACACGGAGACACAGAGACACAGAGACACGGGGACACGGAGATACGGAGACACAGAGACACAGAGACACGGAGACACAGAGACACGGAGATACAGAGACACGGAGACACAGAGACACGGGACACAGAGACACGGAGACACAGAGACACGGGGACACAGAGACACGGAGACACAGAGACACAGGGACACGGAGACAGAGATACAGAGACACGGGGACACAGAGACACGGAGACACAGAGACACAGAGACACAGAGACACGGGGACACAGAGACACGGAGACACAGAGACACGGAGACACAGAGACACGGAGACACAGAGACACGGGGACACAGAGACACGGAGACACAGAGACACAGGGACACAGAGACACGGGGACACAGAGACACGGGGACACAGAGACACGGGGACACAGAGACACGGGGACACAGAGTGAGACATGCACGGCACACCACACCAGCAGCAGCCAATCTACCACTGAGTGGTGGTGACGTCACCACGGCGCTCGTGCCAGGCTAGGTGCACCTGTAGAGTGTAAGTCTCGCTGCTGGCAGGTCACGGGACAGACCCAGGTGCTGTGGGGTCGACTGACTGAGTGGCCGATGCACCACCAGTGCCCTTTACTGCACCAACTTGATACATTTTAGCCGCCCGGCGCTACGCTCGTTGTTGTGAGCGTCGCTCCTCCGCCCTCCGTTGTTGTTGGAGGGCGACTGCCTCCAGCTGCCCAGCAGCAGCGTCCTTCACGAGGACGATCTTGACAAATCCACTCAGCTCCACATCCCCCCGTAACAAATTGGTCCATCTCGTCTCTAGCCCGTGCTACTCACTCACCCACTCACCCTCACTCACCCTCACCACACTCACCCCCACTCACCCTCACTCACCCTCACTCACCCCCACTCAACCTCACTCACCCTCACTCACCCCACTCACCCCCACTCACCCCCTCTCACCCCCACCCACCCTCACCCACCCCCAATCACCCTCACTCACCCCTCTCACCCACCCCCACTCACCCTCACTCACCCCCACTCACCCCCACTCACCCCCACTCACCCCCACTCACCCTCACTCACCCCCACTCACCCCCACCCACCCATACTCACCCTCACTCACCCCTCTCACTCACCCCCACTCACCCCCACTCACCCCCACTCACCCTCACTCACCCCCACTCACCCCCACTCACTCACTCACCCCCACTCACCCCCACTCACTCACCCCCACTCACCCTCACTCACCCCCACTCACCCCCACTCACCCCCACTCACCCTCACTCACCCCCACTCACCCTCACTCACCCCAACCACACCCAACCCCACTCACCCTCACCCACCCCCACTCACCATCACTCACCCTCACCCCCACTCACCCCCACTCACCCCCACTCACCCCCACTCACCGTCACCCACCCCCACTCACCCTCACTCACCCCAACCACACCCAACCCCACTCACCCTCACCCACCCCCACTCACCATCACTCACCCTCACCCCCACTCACCCTCACTCACACCCACTCACCCTCACTCCCACTCACCCTCACTCACCCTCACTCCCACTCACCCCCACTCACCCCCACTCACCCTCACTCACCCCCACCCACCCTCACTCACCCCCACTCACCCTCACTCACCCCCACTCACCCCCACCCACCCATACTCACCCTCACTCACCCCTCTCACTCACCCCCACTCACCCCCACTCACCCTCACTCACCCCCACTCACCCCCACTCACCCCCACTCACCCTCACTCACCCCCACTCACCCCCACCCACCCATACTCACCCTCACTCACCCCTCTCACTCACCCCCACTCACCCCCACTCACCCCCACTCACCCTCACTCACCCCCACTCACCCCCACTCACCCCCACTCACTCACCCCCACTCACCCCCACTCACGCACCCCCACTCACCCCCACTCACCCCCACTCACTCACCCCCACTCACCCTCACTCACCCCCACTCACCCCCACTCACCCCCACTCACCCCCACTCACCGTCACCCACCCCCACTCACCCTCACTCACCCCAACCACACCCAACCCCACTCACCCTCACCCACCCCCACTCACCATCACTCACCCTCACCCCCACTCACCCTCACTCACACCCACTCACACCCACTCACCCTCACTCCCACTCACCCTCACTCACCCTCACTCCCACTCACCCTCACTCACCCTCACTCACCCCCACTCACCCCCACCCACCCTCACTCACCCCCACTCACCCCCACTCACCCCCACTCACCCTAACTCACCCTCACCCCCACTCACCCCTACTCACTCACTCACTCACCTCCAGCTCCCCATCCTCCACCAGGTCAGTGCAGTGAACTGCGTTCAGGATTTTGTTGGTGCCCAGCACAGCACGGAGAGAGGCTGGACGCAGCACTCGGCCCACCTCCTGTGAAGGGGAGAGAGTGAGTGAGTGTTAGTGAGTGTTAGTGAGTGAGTGTTAGTGAGTGTTAGTGAGTGAGTGTTAGTGAGTGTTAGTGAGTGAGTGTTAGTGAGTGTTAGTGTTAGTGAGTGTTAGTGAGTGATAGTGTTAGTGAGTGTTAGTGAGTGATAGTGAGTGATAGTGAGTGTTAGTGAGTGTTAGTGAGTGTTAGTGTTAGTGAGTGATAGTGTTAGTGAGTGTTAGTGAGTGATAGTGAGTGATAGTGAGTGTTAGTGAGTGTTAGTGAGTGAGTGTTAGTGAGTGTTAGTGAGTGAGTGTTAGTGAGTGTTAGTGAGTGAGTGTTAGTGAGTGTTAGTGAGTGAGTGTTAGTGAGTGTTAGTGAGTGAGTGTTAGTGAGTGTTAGTGTTAGTGAGTGTTAGTGAGTGATAGTGTTAGTGAGTGTTAGTGAGTGTTAGTGAGTGAGTGTTAGTGAGTGTTAGTGAGTGAGTGTTAGTGAGTGTTAGTGAGTGAGTGTTAGTGAGTGTTAGTGTTAGTGAGTGTTAGTGAGTGATAGTGTTAGTGAGTGTTAGTGAGTGTTAGTGAGTGATAGTGAGTGTTAGTGAGTGTTAGTGAGTGAGTGTTAGTGAGTGTTAGTGAGTGTTAGTGAGTGAGTGTTAGTGAGTGTTAGTGAGTGAGTGTTAGTGAGTGTTAGTGTTAGTGAGTGTTAGTGAGTGATAGTGTTAGTGAGTGTTAGTGAGTGTTAGTGAGTGTTAGTGAGTGATAGTGAGTGTTAGTGAGTGTTAGTGAGTGATAGTGAGTGTTAGTGAGTGAGTGTTAGTGAGTGAGTGTTAGTGAGTGATAGTGAGTGAGTGTTAGTGAGTGTTAGTGAGTGTTAGTGAGTGAGTGTTAGTGATAGTGTTAGTGATAGTGTTAGTGAGTGTTAGTGAGTGTTAGTGTTAGTGAGTGTTAGTGAGTGTTAGTGAGTGTTAGTGAGTGATAGTGAGTGTTAGTGAGTGATAGTGAGTGAGTGTTAGTGAGTGTTAGTGATAGTGAGTGAGTGTTAGTGAGTGTTAGTGAGTGTTAGTGTTAGTGAGTGTTAGTGAGTGTTTGTTAGTGAGTGTTAGTGAGTGTTAGTGTTAGTGAGTGTTAGTGAGTGATAGTGTTAGTGAGTGTTAGTGAGTGTTAGTGAGTGATAGTGAGTGTTAGTGAGTGATAGTGAGTGTTAGTGAGTGAGTGTTAGTGAGTGAGTGTTAGTGAGTGATAGTGAGTGAGTGTTAGTGAGTGTTAGTGAGTGTTAGTGAGTGAGTGTTAGTGATAGTGTTAGTGAGTGTTAGTGAGTGTTAGTGAGTGTTAGTGTTAGTGAGTGTTAGTGAGTGTTAGTGAGTGTTAGTGAGTGATAGTGAGTGTTAGTGAGTGTTAGTGAGTGATAGTGAGTGAGTGTTAGTGAGTGTTAGTGATAGTGAGTGAGTGTTAGTGAGTGTTAGTGAGTGTTAGTGTTAGTGAGTGTTAGTGAGTGTTTGTTAGTGAGTGTTAGTGAGTGTTAGTGTTAGTGAGTGTTAGTGAGTGTTAGTGAGTGATAGTGAGTGAGTGTTAGTGAGTGTTAGTGAGTGTTAGTGTTAGTGAGTGTTAGTGAGTGATAGTGAGTGTTAGTGAGTGAGTGTTAGTGAGTGAGTGTTAGTGAGTGTTAGTGAGTGAGTGTTAGTGAGTGTTATTGAGTGTTAGTGAGTGATAGTGAGTGTTAGTGAGTGTTAGTGAGTGATAGTGAGTGTTAGTGAGTGAGTGTTAGTGAGTGAGTGTTAGTGAGTGTTAGTGAGTGAGTGTTAGTGAGTGTTAGTGAGTGTTAGTGAGTGATAGTGAGTGTTAGTGAGTGAGTGTTAGTGAGTGAGTGTTAGTGAGTGTTAGTGAGTGTTAGTGAGTGAGTGTTAGTGAGTGAGTGTTAGTGAGTGATAGTGAGTGTTAGTGAGTGTTAGTGAGTGAGTGTTAGTGAGTGTTAGTGAGTGAGAGTGAGTGTTAGTGAGTGTTAGTGAGTGATAGTGAGTGTTAGTGAGTGAGTGTTAGTGAGTGAGTGTTAGTGAGTGATAGTGAGTGTTAGTGAGTGATAGTGAGTGTTAGTGAGTGAGTGTTAGTGAGTGTTAGTGAGTGTTAGTGAGTGTTAGTGAGTGAGTGTTAGTGAGTGTTAGTGAGTGTTAGTGAGTGAGTGTTAGTGAGTGAGTGATAGTGAGTGTTAGTGAGTGAGTGTTAGTGAGTGAGTGTTAGTGAGGGTTAGTGAGTGTTAGTGAGTGAGTGTTAGTGAGTGAGTGAGTGTTAGTGAGTGTTAGTGAGTGAGTGTTAGTGAGTGAGTGTTAGTGAGTGTTAGTGAGTGGGTGTTAGTGAGTGTTAGTGAGTGTTAGTGAGTGAGTGTTAGTGAGTGTTAGTGAGTGAGTGTTAGTGAGTGTTAGTGAGTGAGTGTTAGTGAGTGTTAGTGAGTGTTAGTGAGTGTTAGTGAGTGAGTGTTAGTGAGTGTTAGTGAGTGTTAGTGAGTGAGTGTTAGTGAGTGATAGTGAGTGTTAGTGAGTGAGTGTTAGTGAGTGAGTGTTAGTGAGTGAGTGTTAGTGAGGGTTAGTGAGTGTTAGTGAGTGAGTGTTAGTGAGTGAGTGTTAGTGAGTGAGTGTTAGTGAGTGTTAGTGAGTGAGTGTTAGTGAGTGAGTGTTAGTGAGTGTTAGTGAGTGAGTGTTAGTGAGTGGTAGTGAGTGATAGTGAGTGATAGTGAGTGTTAGTGAGTGTTAGTGAGTGAGTGTTAGTGAGTGTTAGTGAGTGAGAGTGAGTGTTAGTGAGTGTTAGTGAGTGATAGTGAGTGTTAGTGAGTGAGTGTTAGTGAGTGAGTGTTAGTGAGTGAGTGTTAGTGAGTGTTAGTGAGTGTTAGTGAGTGATAGTGAGTGATAGTGAGTGTTAGTGAGTGATAGTGAGTGTTAGTGAGTGTTAGTGAGTGTTAGTGAGTGAGTGTTAGTGAGTGTTAGTGAGTGTTAGTGAGTGAGTGTTAGTGAGTGTTAGTGAGTGAGTGATAGTGAGTGTTAGTGAGTGAGTGTTAGTGAGTGAGTGTTAGTGAGTGTTAGTGAGTGTTAGTGAGTGAGTGTTAGTGAGTGTTAGTGAGTGAGTGATAGTGAGTGTTAGTGAGTGAGTGTTAGTGAGTGAGTGTTAGTGAGTGAGTGTTAGTGAGTGAGTGTTAGTGAGTGTTAGTGAGTGAGTGTTAGTGAGTGTTAGTGAGTGAGTGTTAGTGAGTGTTAGTGAGTGTTAGTGAGTGAGTGTTAGTGAGTGTTAGTGAGTGTTAGTGAGTGAGTGTTAGTGAGTGTTAGTGAGTGAGTGTTAGTGAGTGATAGTGAGTGTTAGTGAGTGAGTGTTAGTGAGTGAGTGTTAGTGAGTGAGTGTTAGTGAGGGTTAGTGAGTGTTAGTGAGTGAGTGTTAGTGAGTGAGTGTTAGTGAGTGTTAGTGAGTGTTAGTGAGTGTTAGTGAGTGAGTGTTAGTGAGTGAGTGTTAGTGAGGGAGTGTTAGTGAGTGAGTGTTAGTGAGTGTTAGTGAGTGTTAGTGAGTGTTAGTGAGTGAGTGTTAGTGAGTGAGTGTTAGTGAGTGGTAGTGAGTGATAGTGAGTGTTAGTGAGTGGTAGTGAGTGATAGTGAGTGTTAGTGAGTGAGTGTTAGTGAGTGTCAGTGAGTGACTCACGGGGTCGGTGGGACCGCACAGTTCCCGGAACCTCCTCACTGCGTCGTCGCCTCTCACTTCAAGTGCCAAGCAAACCCCGGAACACAGCTCCTGTACCATCGCCTGTACACACACACACAGTGATACAGCCTGACTACACACAGTGATACAGCCTGGCTACACACAGTTATACAGCCTGCACACACACACACAGTGATACAGCCTCACTACACACAGTGATACAGCCTGACTACACACAGTGATACAGCCTGACTACACACAGTGATACAGCCTGACTACACAGTGATACAGCCTGACTACACACAGTGATACAGACTACACACACACAGTGATACAGCCTGACTACACACAGTGATACAGCCTGACTACACACAGTGATACAGCCTGACTACACACAGTGATACAGCCTGACTACACACACAGTGATACAGCCTGACTACACACAGTGATACAGCCTGACTACACACACAGTGATACAACCTGACCACACACACAGTGATACAGCCTGACTACACACACAGTGATACAACCTGACCACACACACACACACAGTGATACAGCCTGACTACACACACAGTGATACAGACTACACACACACACACACACAGTGATACAGCCTGACTACACACACAGTGATACAGCCTGACTACACACAGTGATACAGCCTGACTACACAGTGATACAGCCTGACTACCCACAGTGATACAGCCTGACTACACACAGTGATACAGCCTGACTACACACACACAGTGATACAGCCTGACTACACACAGTGATACAGCCTGACTACACACAGTGATACAGCCTGACTACACACAGTGATACAGCCTGACTACACACAGTGATACAGCCTGACTACACACAGTGATACAGCCTGACTACACACAGTGATACAGCCTGACTACACACACACACACAGTGATACAGCCAGACTACCCACAGTGATACAGCCTGACTACACACACAGTGATACAGCCTGACTACACACACACAGTGATACAGCCTGACTACCCACAGTGATACAGCCTGACTACACACACAGTGATACAGACTACACACACACACAGTGATACAGCCTGACTACACACACAGTGATACAGCCTGACTACACACAGTGATACAGCCTGACTACACACAGTGATACAGCCTGACTACACACACACACACAGTGATACAGCCTGACTACACACAGTGATACAGCCTGACTACACACAGTGATACAGCCTGACTACACACAGTGATACAGCCTGACTACACACACACACACAGTGATACAGCCTGACTACCCACAGTGATACAGCCTGACTACACACACAGTGATACAGACTACACACACACACACACAGTGATACAGCCTGACTACACACACAGTGATACAGCCTGACTACACACACAGTGATACAGCCTGACTACACACAGTAATACAGCCTGACTACACACACACACAGTGATACAGCCTGACTACACACACAGTGATACAGCCTGTACACACACAGTGATACACCCTGTACACACACACAGTGATACAGCCTGTACACACACACACACAGTGATACACCCTGTACACACACAGTGATACAGCCTGACTACACACACAGTGATACAGACTACACACACAGTGATACAGCCTGACTACACACACAGTGATACAGACTACACACACACACAGTGATACAGCCTGACTACACACACACACAGTGATACAGCCTGACTACACACACACACAGTGATACAGCCTGACTACACACAGTGATACAGCCTGACTACACACAGTGATACAGACTACACACACACACAGTGATACAGCCTGACTACACACACACAGTGATACAGCCTGACTACACACACACACAATGATACAGCCTGACTACACACACAGTGATACAGCTTGACTACACACAGTGATACAGCCTGTACACACACACAGTGAAACAGCCTGACTACACACACACAGTGATACAGCCTGTACACACACATAGTGATACAGCCTGACTACACACACACAGTGATACAGCCTGTACACACACATAGTGATACAGCCTGACTACACACAGTGATACAGCCTGACTACACACAGTAATACAGCCTGACTACACACACACACACAGTGATACAGCCTGACTACACACAGTGATACAGCCTGACTACACAGTGATACAGCCTGACTACACACAGTGATACAGACTACACACACACAGTGATACAACCTGACTACACACACAGTGATACAGACTACACACACACACAGTGATACAGCCTGACTACACACACAGTGATACAGCCTGACTACACACACAGTGATACAGCCTGACTACACACAGTGATACAGCCTGACTACACACACACACAGTGATACAGCCTGTACACACACACACAGTGATACAGCCTGACTACACACACAGTGAGACAGCCTGTACACACACAGTGATACACCCTGTACACACACACAGTGATACAGCCTGTACACACACACACAGTGATACACCCTGTACACACACAGTGATACAGCCTGACTACACACACAGTGATACAGACTACACACACACACAGTGATACAGCCTGACTACACACACAGTGATACAGACTACACACACACACACAGTGATACAGCCTGACTACACACACACGCGCTGATACAGCCTGTACACACACACACGGTGATACAGCCTGTACACACACACAGTGATACAGCCTGACTACACACACAGTGATACAGCCTGACTACACACACAGTGATACAGCCTGACTCACACACATACACAGTGATACAGACTACACACACACAGTGATACAGCCTGACTACACACACACACAGTGATACAGCCTGTACACACACACAGTGATACAGCCTGACTACACACACAATGATACAGCCTGACTACACACACAGTGATACAGACTACACACACACACAGTGATACAGCCTGACTACACACACAGTGATACAAGCTGACTACACACACACAGTGATACAGACTACACACACACACAGTGATACAGCCTGACTACACACACACACAGTGATATAGACTACACGCACACAGTGATACAGACTACACACACACACAGTGTGTGTGTGTAGTCAGGTGATACAGCCTGACTACACACACACACAGTGATACAGCCTGTACACACACACACACAGTGATACAGCCTGACTACACACACAATGATACAGCCTGACTACACACACAGTGATACAGACCACACACACACACACAGTGATACAACCTGACTACACACACAGTGATACAAGCTGACTACACACACACAGTGATACAGACTACACACACACACACACAGTGATACAGCCTGACTACACACACACACACAGTGATATAGACTACACGCACACAGTGATACAGACTACACACACACACAGTGATACAGCCTGACCACACACACAGTGATACAGACTATACACACACAGTGATACAGCCTGACTAAACACACACACAATCATGCAGACAACACCCACACAGTGATACAGACTACACACACACACAGTGATACAGCCTGACTACACACACACAGTGATACAGACTACACACACAGTGATACAGACTACACACACACAGTGATACAGACTACACACACACAGTGATACAGCCTACACACACACACACAGTGAAACAGCCTGACTACACACACACACAATGATAAATACACACACACAGTGATACACCCTGACTACACACACAGTGATACAGACTACACACACACACAGTGATACAGCCTGACTACACACACACACAATGATGCAGACTACACCCACACAGTGATACAGACTACACACACACACAGTGATACAGCCTGACTACACAACAACAACCGCCATTCGCCACTAAGTGGCGGTGACGTCACCACGACGCTTGTGCCAGGCTATGTGCACCCTGAGGCCACGTGAAGTGTCGAACGCCCGCTGGCAGGAGGTCACGGGGCAGACCCAGGTGCCACGGGTCGACTGACTGAGATGACTGAGATGACTTTCTGATGCACCACCTGTGCCCCCTACTGTGCCAACCTGCTGTGCTTTAGCCACCCGGCGCTCCGCTCGTTGTTGTGAGCGTCGCTCCTCCGCCCTCCGTTGTTGTTCGAGGGCGACTGCCTCCAACTGCCCAGTAGCGTCCTTCACGAGCCTCCTCCACAGAGGCCAATCTTGACACCGCTGGTACCGGTCATCGGCTAGTCCACTCAGCTCCACGTCCTCCTGTACCACATCACTCCATCTCTTCTCTAGCCCGTGCCGCGCCCACTTAGCCCCCTCAATCCGGCAAAACAAAAGCTGTTTCGGCATGCGGTGGCTGGGCATGCGAGCTACATGACCCAGCCATCGCAGCCTTGCTCGCCGGAGGAGCTCACCGATGGGACCTTGCCCAGATCTTTCAAGGATTTGTGAGCTCCTCACACAATCCAGTCTGGTTAAACCCAGGATGGATCGTAGGCAGGCCAGCCTAATTGTTTCTAACCGGCGAAGATGTTCCATTAGGGGGGTCCACGTTTCGCAAGCGTAGAGAAGGGAGGGAATGACTGTGGCCGAGAAGACCTGAAGCTTAGTGCGGAGCGACAGACCAGGTAGCTTCCACACAGCGTTACGCAACCGATGAAAAGATATTGCCGCTCGACTGATTCGGAGTGAGACCTCTGCTGTTAAACTGGAGCCAGTCATAAGCACACTGACCAGGTATGGGAAACTCTCCACTCTCTCCACAACTGCCCCATCACCGATTGGGAGTTGTGGGCGTGGAGTGTCCGATGGTACAAAATACCCAGGCAGGTGCTTAGTTTTGGTGGGGCTGATGGTAAGGCCCCACCTCTTAGTGGCACGCTCCAGTCTCAGCAGCAGCGTCTCCAACTCCTCCTCTGACTGAGCAGCTATTACCAAATCATCAGCATACATAACGTGGTTGAGCAATAGGGAGCCATCCCTTGACCGCACCCGGGCATCGATAAGCCTCCCATTATATCTGTACCATATGGAGATTCCCTCGGTACAGCTATTGAAGGCTTCACGAACTACGTGGTCAAAATAGATGTTAAATAATGTGGGAGCCAGAGGACATCCCTGTCGCACCCCAAGGTGTACAGGGAATGGCTCTGACTCCCGGCCACTTAGTTTTACCCGGGCCCGCTCACCATCATGAAGGTCCTTAATGATCGTGAGCAGAGGGTCAGGTACTCCAAAAGCACGAAGAACGACCCAGAGCCCAGGCCTACTGATGGTATCATAGGCCTTGACCAGGTCAATAAAGCAGAGATGTAGGTCTTGTTGGAATTCCCTACACCTCTGCTGTAGCAGACGGACAGAAAATATGGCATCTGTGCAGGACCGCCCTTTCCTGAAACCGCATTGGGGCTCCGCAAGCCTCTCCTCAGCGTGCCTGGCAAGACGATGCTGAATAATCTTTGCCAGGACCTTTCCCGGCACACTGAGGAGTGAGATGCCCCTGTAGTTGTTACATTCTGTGAGGTCCCCCTTCTTAAAGAGGGGGACCACCAGGGCATCCTTCCAATCCTGCGGAACCCGTCCAGTGGTCCAGACCGTTGTTATGATGTCATATAGGGCAGTCTGTGCACAAACGCCACCCTCCCTCAGCATTTCGCTTGGGAGATCATCTCTGCCCACTGCCTTTCCTGGTCTCAGACTCCGGATCGCCCTCAGTACTTCCTCAACAGATGGCACATCAGCCAGCCACTCACAGGGGGTGACTTCTTCCAATATTTGAGGCACCGCAGCCTTAGCAGGTCATCCTCACTTTTTATGCCACGATGTTTTCCTGGCTGAGGGATTTTCCCTCCCCCAGGACCTCACAGAAATGCTCAGCAAATCTGCAAACCTGTTCCTGGGGGTCAGAGATTGGATCACCGTTTTTTCCCCTAATGATGGCAATAGGTGTGGCGCTGCAGGTTACTTTTTTGATGGAGTTAAATAGAGATTTGTGATCACGGGCCACTGAGGCAGACTCCATCTCCTCAGAAACCCGCGACCACCACCCATCCTTGCAGCGCCTCACGGCTCTCCGAACCTCCGAGCGAAGGCTGCGGCAAGCCTCCTCATTCTCTGACGTGGGATTCTGTAGCCGATGACAGTGGGCCTGTCGCTTTTTCTCAACCATCCTGAACACCTCCTCTGTCAGCCAGGGTCCATGGGGAGGTCTGGACCGCGTACCCAAAGCAGCCATTGCAGCTGCATGAGTCACAGTCCTAAACCTCGTCCATTTACCCTCGACATCAGGAGGAGTCGGGGACGATGCCAATCCCAGCCGCAAGCGATGATGAAATTCTCGCTTGCAACTTTCATCAGATAACTGAGACCAGGCCACTTTAGGTTGGAATGGGGTCCTGGGTGTACACCCACCACCGGAGTGGAAGAATGGCAGGCGCATCTTACAGATGACTAGTCGATGGTCAGAGGGCAGATCAGCTCCACGGTAGGTCCTGGTGTCAAGGACATGGGCTTGCATCCGCTGGTCCGTCACTATGTAGTCCAGCAGATGTTCTTGTTTGGATCCGGCATGCATCCATGATGTTGTGTGGATGCGCCGATGCCGGAACAGCGTGTTGGTAATTACAAGCCCATGGGCTGCACAATAATCTAGCAGCCTCCTACCGTTGTTATTGAGCTGATCTGGCCCATGCCCTCCAATCACTCCAGACCAGGTGACCTGACTACACACACACAGTGATACAGACTACACACACACAGTGATACAGACTACACACACACAGTGATACAGACTACACACACACAGTGATACAGACTACACACACACAGTGATACAGACTACACACACACAGTGACACAGACAACACACACACACAGTGATACAGACTACACACAGTGACACACACACAGTGATACAGACTACACACACACAGTGATACAGACTACACACACACAGTGACACAGACAACACACACACACAGTGATACAGACTACACACAGTGATACAGACTACACACACACAGTGACACAGACAACACACACACACAGTGATACAGCCCGACTCAACTACACACACACCCAGCGCTACATCCTGACTCAACTACACACACACCCAGTGCTAGAGACTGACTCAACTACACACACACCCAGTGCTACAGCCTGACTCAACTACACACACACCCAGCACTACAGCCTGACTCAACTAGACACACACCCAGCGCTACAGCCTGACTCAACTACACACACCCAGCACTACAGCCTGACTCAACTACACACACACCCAGTGCTACAGCCTGACTCAACTACACACACCCAGCACTACAGCCTGACTCAACTACACACACACCCAGTGCTACAGCCTGACTCAACTACACACACCCAGCACTACATCCTGACACAACTACACACACACCCAGTGCTACATCCTGACTCAACTACACACACACCCAGTGCTAGAGACTGACTCAACTACACACACACCCAGTGCTACAGCCTGACTCAACTACACACACACCCAGCACTACAGCCTGACTCAACTAGACACACACCCAGCGCTACAGCCTGACTCAACTACACACACACACAGTGCTAGAGACTGACTCAACTAGACACACACCCAGTGCTAGAGACTGACTCAACTACACACACACCCAGTGCTAGAGACTGACTCAACTACACACACACACCCAGCACTACAGCCTGACTCAACTACACACACACACACCCAGCACTACAGCCTGACACAACTACACACACACCCAGTGCTACAGCCTGACTCAACTACACACACACACACAGCGCTACAGCCTGACACAACTACACACACACCCAGTGCTACATCCTGACTCAACTACACACACACCCAGTGCTACATCCTGACTCAACTACACACACACCCAGTGCTAGAGACTGACTCAACTACACACACACCCAGTGCTACAGCCTGACTCAACTACACACACACAGCACTACAGCCTGACTCAACTACACACACACTCAGCACTACAGCCTGACTCAACTACACACACACCCAGCACTACAGCCTGACTCAACTACACACACACCCAGTGCTACAGCCTGACTCAACTACACACACACCCAGTGCTACAGCCTGACACAACTACACACACACAGAGCTACATCCTGACTCAACTACACACACACCCAGTGCTACAGCCTGACTCAACTACACACACACACACCCAGCGCTACAGCCTGACACAACTACACACACACAGCACTACAGCCTGACTCAACTACATACACACACCCAGCACTACAGCCTGACTCAACTACACACACACAGCACTACAGCCTGACTCAACTACACACACACCCAGCGCTACAGCCTGACACAACTACACACACACCCAGCACTACAGCCTGACTCAACTACACACACACACCAAGTGCTACAGCCTGACTCAACTACACACACACCCAGCACTACAGCCTGACTCAACTACACACACACACCCAGCACTACAGCCTGACTCAACTACACACACACCCAGCACTACAGCCTGACTCAACTACACACACACCCAGCACTACAGCCTGACTCAACTACACACACACCAAGTGCTACAGCCTGACTCAACTACACACACACACAGCGCTACAGCCTGACTCAACTACACACACACCCAGTGCTACAGCCTGACTCAACTACACACACACACAGCACTACAGCCTGACACAATTACACACACCCAGTGCTACAGCCTGACACAACTACACACACACCCAGCACTACAGCCTGACTCAACTACACACACACCCAGCACTACAGCCTGACACAACTACACACACAGCACTACAGCCTGACACAACTACACACACACCCAGCACTACAGCCGGACTCAACTACACACACACACCCAGCACTACAGCCTGACACAACTACACACACACCCAGCACTACAGCCTGACTCAACTACATACACACACCCAGCACTACAGCCTGACTCAACTACACACACACAGCACTACAGCCTGACTCAACTACACACACACCCAGTGCTACAGCCTTACTCAACTACACACACACCCAGTGCTACAGCCTGACTCAACTACACACACACACAGCACTACAGCCTGACACAACTACACACACACCCAGCACTACAGCCTGACTCAACTACACACACAGCACTACAGCCTGACACAACTACACACACACCCAGCGCTACAGCCTGACTCAACTACACACACACAGCACTACAGCCTGACACAACTACACACACACTCAGTGCTACAGCCTGACTCAACTACACACACACCCAGCACTACAGCCTGACTCAACTACACACACACAGCGCTACGGCCTGACACAACTACACACACACCAAGTGCTACAGCCTGACTCAACTACACACACACCCAGCACTACAGCCTGACTCAACTACACACACACACATAGCGCTACAGCCTGACACAACTACACACACACACCCAGTGCTACAGCCTGACTCAACCACACACACACTAAGTGCTACAGCCTGACACAACTACACACACACAGCACTACAGCCTGACTCAACTACACACACACCCAGCACTACAGCCTGACACAACTACACACACACACACACACAGCGCTACAGCCTGACTCAACTACACACACACCCATCACTACAGCCTGACTCAACTACACACACACCCAGCACTACAGCCTGACACAACTACACACACACAGCGCTACAGCCTGACACAACTACACACACACACAGCACTACAGCCTGACACAACTACATACACACACCCAGCACTACAGCCTGACACAACTACACACACACAGCACTACAGCCCGACCGTAGGGGAAAGTGCTGTTAGCACGCAGCGCCTGTGAAGGCTACCGGCCCCGTGGCGCACGGTGGGGTGGGTGGCCAGCACCACGCCCGCCCGGCCGCCTTTGTCTCCCCACTGGCGATGTTTACTTACAAACCGCACCAGTTACTGATTTGAGGCCGAGTCGACCTAGGGGAGGCCTAGGACCGGTTCGGATGACGGCTATCGCCGATGATGTTGGTGGCGGCCGCGAGCAGGAATGGAACTCGGCTCCCGGCCGGGGCTGGCGACACGACGCCGACCGCTGCGCCACCACTCCCCACTTGCGTGGAACTCACCCCGTAGTCCGGAACGACGCCCTTGTACACCTCGTAGAACTCCTCAGCACTCACTCGGTCCAGAACAAACTGTGCACACACACACACACAGTGTACACACACAGCGTGTACACACACACACACAGTGTACACACACACAGTGTACACACACACACAGTGTACACCTCGTAGAACTCCTCAGCACTCACTCGGTCCAGAACAAACTGTGCACACACACACACACAGTGTACACACACAGCGTGTACACACACACACACAGTGTACACACACACAGTGTACACACACACACAGTGTACACCTCGTAGAACTCCTCAGCACTCACTCGGTCCAGAACAAACTGTGCACACACACACACACAGTGTACACACACAGCGTGTACACACACACACAGTGTACACACACAGTGTACACACACACACAGTGTACACCTCGTAGAACTCCTCAGCACTCACTCGGTCCAGAACAAACTGTGCACACACACACACAGCGTACACACACAGCGTGTACACACACACACACACAGTGTACACACACACAGTGTACAGACACACACACAGTGTACACACACAGTGTGTACACACACACACACAGTGTACACACACAGCGTGTACACACACAGCGTGTACACACACACAGTGTACACACACACAGTGTACACACACACACAGTGTACACACACACAGTGTACACACACACAGTGTACACCTCATAGAACTCCTCCACACTCACTCGGTCCAGAACAAACTGTGCACACACACACACAGCGTGTACACACACGTGTACACACACACACACAGTGTACACACACACAGACAGTGTACACACACAGTGTACACACACAGTGTACACACACAGTGTACACACACACAGTGTACACCTCATAGAACTCCTTTGCACTCACTCGGTCCAGAACAAACTGTGCACACA